ATGGGGTGTGGCTCCCGAGCCGAAACTTCCGAAAGTATGAAGAGCATCGCCTCCATCACACTGCGCGTGGATTCAGAGGAAGCGGTGCCTTAGCCCTGCCGAGGTGCTGCTGCAGCTTGGGGCGGGCGGGGCAGAACAGCACAGGTCCTTCTTGAAGCTAGCACTGTCCGGGATTTCTCGGTGGAGAGCTCGCAGGAGCATTGGTCTCTCGTGGAAGTTGCAGACTCCGTTCCCGCTTGTTCCGCATCGACTGCGGCGTTGCCTGTCGCGCTTTGAGCACCACCTAGCTGCCTAGCTCGACATACTCGTCAGTTTTGGGAGGGATGGTCGATGGTGCGCTTGCGCTCCGCAGGCTGTCATGCTGGCTGTTTTTCGAAGACCGGTTCCTGCACATGCATGCATTCGGAGACATCGTGCCCTGCATGAGTATGCTGGTCCGCAGCAGCATCTGTACAGGTTGGATGTGCAGCCGATCTCTTGTGTTGCATGCGGTGTGGATTCGCCAGGCAGGAGGAGGCCATCGCACCGGGCACTTTTGTGTAGATTCTACGTCGTGATGTGAGTTTACAAGGCGCTGTGCCCACGGTTGTGTGAGAGTGCGGTTCAGATTTGTCCGAGCATTTCGTCAGACATTCGATGGATTTGATTCGTTGGCCTAGCCCGAGCAAGCAATTCGCAGCTAGCAGCGCCATCCGGGGTTTTCTGAGTTTGAAGATGCATCGGCGCCGTGTGCACGAGAACAGTCTGGCTGCTAGTGTGCTTTGGCTTTGCCTCGGTAAGGATATGCAGCACATGTCCTGCAGGTCCATGCCGAGTACATCGCATACGAAGCACTGCCCATGTCCAGGGAATGTCACGCGCTGCAGAATTCTGGAACCCTAAACTCTATCCAACGACGGGAGAACGGATGCCGCACTCGAGTGGCAACTCTCCACTACGTTCTGCCGTGCAGGCTGGCACAGGGCCCTTCCAAGAAACCTAGGAAGCCTGGCGTCTGGAAAAGTTGCACTCGCAGGATGCGGGACCTGTGAAGCTCCTCCGGCTTCGGCCGGCCGCTGGCATTCAAGAGATGCCGA